GGGTATACAGCTGGATAAAAGGGTAGACAGGCTGAATGAACTCTTAGGTGTGTCTATGAAGTGGGGAGTGTACCCAAGACCATGTATAGGGTTGGCATACAATGGTCCTATAAGTCTATCTGTATGATCTGAATTCCCAGGTGTACAGTAGAGCTGACAAGGGATAAGTTTGTTGTCACTTCTTGGTCACAGCCAGCTACCCAGAGGGACTGAGTAGTTGAACCTGTGGGCGGGCTCGGGACCATTGTTGCAGGGGACATCAAGCTCAATTGGTGTAATATACTACACATTATATTTATATTTTATATTAATATAAACATTGTTCCACCTCCTACTTCAGCAAGTAGCAACTGGGATCTTAAAAGCTTGCAAGCAGCCATCTAGATGCAACAATGGGTCTCTCCTTGTCCAGAGTGAAGAAGAATGAAGAAAACCAGATTCATGGAAAGAATTAGTCCTAGTGACTGGTGCACCATGCTATCTGCAGCCTATACGACAATGAGACCAGAAGAACTAGATGGTGCCCAGCTACCACTGTCAACCACTCAGAGGGGGGTCTATGTAGGAGATCCTGGATAGAGAGGGAGAACAATGTGAAACAAAACTCAAAATCATTTGGGAAAAAAAAATGGGGACTAGGTTTGCTGGTCTGATAGAACCTGGTGGAAACACTGAGACTATGGCCCCTAGCTGCCCTTCAGATCTGGAATTGACCTATACTTGTCGCTTCTACCCAAGCAAAAGACAGGCATAGGAGTTGAACATTTACCTGAGGTAGATACATTCCTTGGAGAGGACAATCATGGGAGAAAGAAGGGCTGTTTATGCACAGGGAGACAGTTCGGGGGCCAGGGGTGCATGGAGGGATGGACACAGGGAAGAGGTGACTGTGGGGAGGAAGTGGGAGGGGAGCTGTTGCATTGTGGTGAATTGTAGTCAATGTTGTGAGACAAAATGTATGTGAACTGCTGTATGGAAAGTGAATTTGCTCTGTAAATTTTCACCCAAATCACAATTGAAAAAAAAAAGGGGGGGCAAAAAAAGGATGTTCCCCTTGGGAAAACCAGATAAAGGGTATACGGAATCTCTCCGTGTTATTTCTTATCATTGCATGTGAATCTATAATTACCTCAAAATGAAAAAGTGCATAATAATCAAAAGTATTTATATACCATTACCTAGGCCCCAGCCCGGGATTCTGATGTTAATAGTCCGTATGGCACGGGTATATTTTGAGCTTCCCCATGTGTGCCCAGTGGGCAGCCAGTGCTGAGAGCTGCCACAGACTTTGGGTCTGGATGAGTCCAGAGCTGAGGTTGCTGGGTGCTTCCAAGTCTGATGCTCCATGATGATCTGCCACTTTCTCTGTCATTTTCATCCCAGGGGTTAGGGGAGAGCTGGCTCAGACCAGGCCTGACTCCTGTGCCAGCCTATAAAACAGGCCCTTCTGGGCCAGCAGCTGGGCTGGGCTGCCGCTCTCTGCCACTTGCCCCTTGTCCATGACCAGCACCCTGTGGAGGGGTTGGGGAGAAGCAGCTCTTTCCATACCAGCCCAGGCACTTGGCACCTCCGAGACCTCAGAAGGAATGCCCAGGTGAGCTCCCACCTTTCATATGTTTTCCCAAGTCAAGTCAGAAGCATCTGATGGATATATGTTCTTGGGCTCATCCCCTCCCTGTGGGCATCAGTTTGCCATCTGTACAATGGGCACTTCAGAATCCATTCCAGGGGCCCTTCAAGCACTAGACCCTGACTCTCCTCTACCTGCCCAGGCCCCTGACTGGAGGGCAGCAGGGGGATGTTTTACCTGGCACAGTCCATCACCAAGTGCAGGCGGTGGGCGATGAGGAGCACAGTGCATGGAGCAAACCAGCTCCTGAGGGCCATCTGGATCTGGCGCTCTGTCCCAGGGTCTACAGCTGCCGTGGCCTCGTCCAGGATGAGGATCTGGGTTTTCCGAAGCAAGGTGCGCGCCAAACACAAGAGCTGCTTCTGGCCCACGCTGGGAATGAGTGGGGCAGTCAGGCTGGATATATGCTGGCCTTTGCATAAGGATTTCTAGGGTACACCCACCCATGGGTCCCCGTGATAGCCATAGAAGCAGGGCTAAGTTGCCATATGTGTACCCCACATGGGGCTTCAGTCAGAAAGATCTGGTTGGAAAGGCCATTTTCAAGCAGGATGACTTCAGGCAAGTCATTCAAACGCTTTGTGCCTCACTTCCCTCCCCTGTGAAATGGGTGTTTGGATTTCTGTTCTATGGTCTTCTCATGTGCTAGATGCATTCTTAGTGCTTGATCCAAGTCTCATAATGACCACAAAGGTAGGTATTGTTATTCTCCCTTTTTACAAGGAAGAAACAGGCACAGAGAGTTTAAGTGACTTGACAAAAGCCACAGTGTTAGTAGTGGAGGTGAAATGTGAACTCAGGACACTGAGCTGTGAGCAGATGATGAGTCATATTCAAGGGCTTTGGGCATGTGTGGCACCAAGTAAGCCCTTGGCACAGTGTAGCTTCTCTTATGCTAATTACAGATGAGGAAGTTGAGGCTCAAGGTCACACAGAGGCTCAAGCCTCTGTCCCTGTGAGGGACAGACCTTCACTGGACAAAGTGGGCCTCTGGGATCAGGTGAGGCTTGGTCTGTTTCCTGCCAGGCTCTGCTTCCTCATATACACCCTTTTGTGAAACAACATCTCTTCAGAGAACCAAAACTACTACAGGGAAGCCAAGAGAGGGTGTTCACATGTCAGCTGGGGTCAAGACTGCCTTGAAGTCATCATGGTGCCTTGGCTTTGCTCCAGCCTCATCCTTCCAAGATGGGTAGTCCTGGCCAAGTCTCAAGCTTCAGATTCCAACACTTGTGACAGTGTGGCTCTAAGGATGAGGATGAACACTTCCTGTTTCCTACATGCCAGGCATTATCCCATCAACTTTATACACACAGCTCACTCAGTCCTTACACTGGTAGATAGGTACTATTATCATCCCTGTTTTATAGATGAGGAAACTGAGGCACAACAGCTCCTATAATAGGTAAGGGGGGAGCTTCAGTTTGAACCCAGGCTGTCTGATGCAAGTTTATGCTCTTAGCCATGAAACTGGACTTCCTCCCTATTGTGTAGGAACCACAACCATCCTGTCTCATCCTAAAACCTTCAGGGTCGGAAGGTCTGGAGTCCAGAAAGTCTGTTTTTAAAAAGGCATACACAATGTGTTACTTGATTTTCACCACGGGTCTGAGGTTAGCACCCAGTAGCAAACATATTATTTTTGTAGGAAAAAAAAAAAAAATTGAGAAGGCTAAATTAAGACTCATGTAAATTGAGGTTGGGTTTTGCATCAAATAAATTTAGGATCTATATTTAGGAAAAAGAAACCTGGTATTCAGAGATTTTGTTGGAGTTTAGAAGTGCTAATAAGGGATAGGACTTGTATTATGATTATTACTAGAACAACAACAATTTTTAAAAAGCCACGCCCACTGCCCAACTCATGACAACCCATGTGTTACAGAGTAGAACTGCTCCATAGGGTTTTCTCAGATGTAGTCTCACTAGAAGCAAATAGAAGCCTTTCTTCTGCAGTACTGTTAGGTAGGTCCGAATTGACAACTTTTAGGTTAGCAGTTGAGTGCAAAACCATTTGCTCCACCCAGGGACCTTGGGGTTGATAATCCCATGAGGGAAGCAGATTTCCTGAGAACTCGTCCAAAGCCCAAGTTGAGGGAGCCCTGGTCACATTCACCTGGCCCACCTTAACTCCCAGCAGGGCTCTGGCCACATCAGGATGACCATACCTTAGGTCATCCCCTTGGTCAGTGCATTCATACTGCAGCTGGCCGGGCAGGCTGGCCACCACAGCTTTGAGCTGCACGGTCTCCAAAGCCACCCAGATGACCTCGTCTGTGTGCTCGTGTAGCAGGTCAAGGTTCATCCGCAGAGAGCCAGGGAACAAGATGGGGTCCTGGCCGGGAAGCAGCAGGTCAGAGAAAGGCCCAGCCATGCCTTGCACCTCTGCCCCCTCCCCAGCCTTCCCCAGTCTCACCTGGGGGATGATGGTGATCCTGGACCGCAATGTGTGCAGCCCCACATGAGTGATGGGGACCCCATCAATCCAGATTTCACCCTCAGCTGCTTCCAGGAGTCGCAGCAGGCCCCGGGCCAGGGAGGACTTCCCAGCACCTGTCCTACCTACAATGCCCACCTGGCAAGAGATAGAGGGCAAGGCCTGTTATGACCAGGTCTATCCAGAGGGAGGCAGGCTGGAGCCAGGAGTATTCCCTATACCCAGATCTGCCTGTCTATCCATTCATCATCCTTTGTGCATCCATCCTTCCATCTTTCCATCTGTCTACCCTTCCACAGATCCATCCACTAATCTATCCAAACTTCCATCTGCACATTCTTCATTCTGGCATATCTCCCCCATCTTTCTATCTAACCCTCACTCTTCCTTCTATGCTTCTGTCCCCCCATCTTTCTATCCTTCATCATCCTTTCTCCTCTCCTTCACCACCTTTTCATTCACAACTCTAACCCTCCATCATCTCTCTCCTTCCTTCAGTCCTCCATCCTTCTATCCATCCCATTATCCTTCTGTCCTCCTCCTTTAAATCACCCACCCATCCATCCCCTATGCTTTCTTCCATCTGTCATCCATCTGTCACTTTCCATCCCATCCATCGATCCTCCATCCTCTGTCATTCTTCCTTCTATACTTTCTTCTTTTACCTATACTCTATCCTCTTATCTGTCCATAATCCTTCCTTCCAAGTAGCTCTTATGGAACAGTGGTTAAAGCATTCATCTGCTAACTAAAATGTTAGCAGTTAAAATCCACTGGCTGCTCCACTTGTCTATTAGTTTGCCGTACTGTGGTAGCTTTTGTGTTGCTATGATGCTGGAGGATATGCCACTGGTATTTCAAATACCAGCAGGGTCACCCATGGTGGACAGGTTTCAGTGGAGATTCCAGACTAAGACAGACTCAGAAGAAGAAAGGATCCATCTACTTCTCAAAGAATTGATCAGTGAAAACCTTACGAATAGCAGTGAAACACTATCTATTACTGGAAAACTTTATGAATAGCCCTGAAACACTGCCTGCTATAGTGCCAGAAGATAAGACTGTCAGGTTGGAAGGCACTCAAAATACAACTGGGGAAGAGCTGCCTCCTCAGAGTAGAGCTGACCTTAGTGATGTAGATGGAGTAACGCTTTCAAGAACTCAATTTGCTGATGTGGCACAACTCAAAATGGGAGGGAACAGCTGCAAACATCCATTAATAATCAGAATATGGAATGTACAAAGCATGAATCTAGGACAATTGGAAGTTGTCAAAAAGGAATGGAATGCTTAAAGATTGATATCCTAGGCATTAGAGAGCTGAAAAAGGTGGTTTTGGCCATTTTGAATGAGATAAACATGATCTATTATGCCAGGAATGACAAATTGAAGAGGAATGGCATGGCATTCACCACCACAAAAAATATTGCAACATCTATCCTGAAGTATAGTGCTGTCAGTAATAGGATAATAAATATCCATATGCCTACCAGGAAGACTAGTTAATACTAATATTATTCAAATTTATGCACCAACCACCAAAGCCAAAGACAAGGAAATTGAAGATTTTTACCAACTTCTACAGTCTGAAATTACCAAAGAAACAATCAAGATGTGTTGATTATCACTGGTGATTGGAATGCAAAAGATGGAAACAAAGAAGAATTACCTGTAGCTGGGAAATATGGCCTTGGTGATAGAAATAACGCTGGAGATTGCATGATAGAATTTTGCAAGACTGATGAACATCATCCATGAAGAAAGCAAAAGGTCATTAAAAAGACAGGAAAGGAAGAAAATACCAAAATGGATGTCAGAAGAGGCTCTGAAACTTGACCTTGAAAAGAGAGTAGCTAAAGCAAATGGAAGAGATGACAAGATAAAAGAGCTGAACAGAAAATTTCAAAGAGCAGCTCAAGATGACATAGTCAGTTATTATAATGAAATGTGCAAAGACCTGGAGTTAGAAAACCAAAAGGGAACAGCATGCTTGGCATTTCTCAAGCTGAAAGAATGGAAGAAAAAATTCATGCCTTGAGTTGCAATATTGAAAGAGTCTATGGGCAAAATATCAAACAATGTAGGAAACATCAAAAGAAGTTGGAAGGAGTACACAGAGTCACTATACCAAAAAGAATTTGTTGATGCTCATCCATTTCAGGAGGTGGCATATGATCAAGAACCAACGGTACTGGAGTTCCAGCAAGATGGCGGACTAGGCAGAAAGACTGCACAGACCCTCTTCAACAAAGAAAAAGGAAACCAAT